CTCCCCTGCCTCGTGCCCTGTACATCTTTGGATGACCTCCAGGCTCATTGTGACCCTCTACTAGATAAAGTTATGCAGGATGGCTGAAATAGTGATAGACTTGAAATGATAGGATATTCGTCTCCTATCCTCTCATCTGACCTCACAGCATCGTATTGGATGGTCCTCTTCCTGCAGTTCCCGAGTGTGTGTACCCATTTCTCAGCTTGAGTGTGTGTACTCCCATGTCACAGGGCAGAGAACGGGCCGACGTGCATTGTCATGCGACCCAGCACCGAGGACCCCACCAGAACGAAGTTCACCTGGCTGCTCAGCATAGATTTGAAGGTGAGAAGGTCTCAACTCAATCACCTAGTCAATACGCTGCCATCAGAGGTGATCGGGTTTGTCGACAAATTCGTGTGGAAGTCTATGATGTTCATGAAGAAGTTAGCTTCCAGCTTCACTTCCCCAGTTACGTAAACACACCCTTTTTACCGCTGTCAAATGAAAGGCAATGAGAACTAGTCTGCCTGTGGCTCCTGTTCTCCCTGTACATTTTTAGGGTTGGATCCCGAAAGCCATCGTCAACCAAGTGCTTTCCCAGACTCAGCTGGACTTCGCCCATCACCTGAGACAACGGATGGCTGCCAGCACTATGGGGGCTGTCCTAGCCTGCTGACACCCCCACGCACCGCCTGTCCTACCCCACACCACCCACACCAATCACACCACTGCTGGGGGGGGGCGACTCTCATCCAAAGGGACCTTTCCCACACTTAGAAAACAGAATTCTGCTTCTTCAAACTTAGGTATCACAGGGAAGCTGATCACATTAGCATTGCTTGCAGACTTTTGCTGCTACTTACCTTAGAACAATGTCAGTATGATACGTTGTACGTGTGACAGGGAGACATAGAAGCTCTTACAGCTTTTCTGAATTGCTACAACACTAAACCTCATCCTTGGAGCAAAACTGCCAATTACCAAAACTCATTTATTGAATCAGTCGCCCGTTTGGCGAAACTTTAGACAGTGCTCACCTAGTTAGACACAATTTGCAGGTCTAAGTCACCTTTTCTGCAAAACTCTAAACACATTCTCATTCATTAAAACACATTTTGCACCATGGCGAACTTTGATGGAAAATAGAAAATAGTCTGCAAAAGCCAGCACACAGTAGTCATCATTTAAACACAATGACTCAAAACTGTTCATACGTTTCTAAACGTGTAGAAGCCAAAGAGTGACTAGAACATAGAATATATGCCGGATGAGGGTGCAAGTGACATAGGTGAGCTGAACTTCGACGTCAAGGTACAAATGGCTCACACAAAGGAATCTTCCCACATCACTCAGCAAGGGAGAGCATTTCCTGTGATGTAGACAAAGTTCTCTGTCCTTATCCAGCCTTAAGACATGGAGATGAGGCAGAATGGATATTCTTCCTTGACTGTAGCTTGGCAGTTGCACAACATTTTACTGTAATATCCCTCTCATTTGGATTTTTTAACTATGTTGTTTACAGTAACCTTCTCAGAGTACTGAATACTGCAAACATTACATATCGGTTTAGTATAATTGTGTGCAAACATCTTTGGTTGACATTTTTTTTCCCCTATAGTCTTGTGCTTTCCAATTTTGTGGCTCAAGATGCAAAAGACCACATCCACAGTAAACGTTTCTCTAAAGGCCAGTTACTGTGTTGACTGGTAGTGTTTTCAGTTTTTTGTTGTAGTGTGTAGTGACTTAGTAGTTTAACTGACTGGTTTCATGCGTGATCTGAAAGCAGTTTTGCTTGTGATTTTCCAAGACAAGTCAAAGGTTTTGTGTGTGTAGCTTGAATTTTAGAGTTTGTGTTTAGTGTTTTGAGAAAATGAGAGATCTTAGGAAATGTGTATTAGCAATCCAGAAAACTGTAAAAGATTATGATTATCAAAGTCATTACTCTGAGGGCATTTGAACAAAACACAACCACTTTAAGTAAATACAGTCCTATAGAGGTATGTCCTGATTTGATCACTTGCTGACTTTGCGCTCCTACACTGGACCACTAGAGGGCACTCATCACTGGTCACTGCCATCCTCAAATGACTGTTTTCCCCATCAGCCCCAGTTCAGACCAGCAGCGTACAAGATCCTCCATTTTCCGTACCAGCTGTACCAGTCTCAGCATGAATTTTATTGCTGTATAAATTTTGAATCTGTACATTCATTGTAATTACTGCACTTGGTGTAAGATGTCTTGTATTTATTGTGAACCAATAGAACTGCCTGTCACCCACAATAAAGGGGTCTGTCAAGCAAATAAAAAGCAAGAACCGCATTTTTTCCCCTCAGTAACTTCATGTGAAAGTAGTTCAGACCAAGAACTTCAGGGAGTGCACTTTTAAATATTTTATTTAAAACCAGTTTCATTATAAAACAAAACACCAACCCTGGTAAATGTTATTTAGGGGACTAGCATGGCAGGGAACCACAATAAAACACACCAAGCCGAAGGAAGGAAGAAGTGAAACCAAGGAAATCAGACTGGCAGCCTAAGTGAATAGGGGGGACTTCGTACTTACGATGGTTTGATTGAGATTAGAGGCACAACCAGAGATATTTGGAGACCAACTCCATGCTTCCTATGCTAGAGGAGTTTGGTGATTCTGACGAGGGTCAGCAAACAGTAAAGCTACCCAGAATTCCAGGCTGTTTAGCTTAGCATTTAGGAAGGCTGTCTCCTACAGTATGTGTATATTCTGCCTTCCAGACTTTCCCCAAATGAAACCTTTCGGATGTGGATACACAATGCACGAAGAGTTAACCTGCTCACATCTGACCGACACCACAGGTCTGGTTGTACCATAAACACTCTGAAATGCTTTTAAACGTTTTCTGAGAAGGACTGACTCCTGCTGATATTCTGACCATAGTGGTTCCATCATGAAAGCAGGAAATCTAGAAAGTTCTTGAGCACTTTCCAATGAAATTTTATTTTGTCCCATTCAGCGGCCATGCTTGCAGACCCCTGATTTTAACGAGCACTATGACAGAGGTCTTTGATGGAAATCAGCAGAACACACTTAGGAAAATGAAGATCCAGGGTCTTCTTGTTGACGCAAAATCGCAAGTATCTTGTAAAACAAGGATTAGGTAACCGTGCTACCTGGTCCGGTCCAGTTCGATCCTTCCTTAAGATGGATGGAGTTCACATTGGGCTTATGGGTCAGTGCTTGGCATGAAGTGAAGTCTACTGCAGGAATGAGTGTCCAGCAGGGAGGAAGTGACACACTGGAGGGATTGGGGGGGTCAGCCTTCCCAAGGGGGGCTGCGACGGCCATCCACGTCGGTCTCCACATGGTACAGGATATCTGCCAGAGTGTGCTCAATTACAGCTCCCCAACCCATGTCACTCATCTGCAAGGATGTAAACAAACAAGATGTAAAAATAAATTAAAAGGTCTCTGGGATTTGGGCGAGACCTACATGGCAGTACTTACAGGTTGGTATTTAATGTCCTTGGGAGCGTATTTGAAATGAGGCCCAAAGTTAACAGATACCTAGAACAGAAGAACAGGAAAATTACATACAAATAACCAAACAATAGCCTGTCAGTTCCGCAAGGATGTTCTTGACATCATCTTTAAGATCTTTTAAGAGAAAAACTCATTCATTGTTCCTCACACACACACACACGAGGTAATACAGGTACTTACTGTGCAATTTTTGTAGAGGGAGATGGCGGGAAAGTACATCCCTTCAAACAGGTTTTCAAAAGCCACCCCCTGATTGATGCCATTCTTGTAGAAGATC